GTGAATATGAATGGTCCAGAAAAATGCAAATTTAATCCTCAACACAAAAGATACATGAAATTTTGGCAATCATCTGGACTTCATACCACCAGAGCACTTTGATAGGTGACAAATATGACCACACCTTCCGCCAGAGAAGAGCCTCCATCAAAAAGAAGAGGAGAAGCTGACAATACAGTGCTCGTTCTTTGTCCATCAAGAAGACACTATTTCAATCAATATTAGAACATCGTCAACGTGACCAGTATAACATTGTTGACAACCGAATATAAGTTTGGAAGAAGTAGATCCTCAATGCAAATAGACTTATTTTCCTTTTACCTGTGTTTTGATTGAGAACCTATTAAGCAAGGGAACAACCGAGAAAGCATGTAACAGCACCAAACCTTTACTATCACCTGTAACAGCTTTAAACTGGCGAGTAGCTTGTGAATCCTGCCCCAGAAACAATGTATCACTGGAGCATTATGTTCTCCACTAATAACTTTTGTTGCTGATGCCCTCTGCACATCCCATACTGTGACATGACCATCACCATAACCAACTAACAGAAGGTCTCCTGGCTGCTTGAAGCACATGGATGTTACGGGGGCAAGGGACCTATCCCCATGCAAACCAAGTATGACCATCTAGGATACATATAACATCATAAAACAGAAAAGTTAACTTAGATAAATTACAAATCAGAACTCAAATCCAAGAAAGTCTGATAAGTGTATGCATGTTGAAGCTTCAAAGTTCAACATACAATCCTCAATTGCAGAAGAACACAACATGGATAATATAGAATGCAAGCGAATAAAAACAAATACATGATCTGTAAAATATGTCCAAGTGTGTCTTAACAAGCCTCATGTTTCAAGTATTTTCTTCGATAAATCTTGTTAGCTGCTGGATCATGTCTTTTCAGTCATAATGAACTCAGAAGACCTGATCTGATAGGATTCCATCTTCCTAATTTCAGTCCATCAAACCAGAATTTGATACTAAAATTTGAATTAGAATGCATTATCAGAAGAATGCTGTCCTACCTTTAAACTTGTCTTTAACATAAGGGCAGAGTTAAGCAACTTTAAAAGGCAAATCATTCCACAGAAATACAACCAAGGATTAAAAATTAAAGAGCTAGGGCAACTGATGCACCTTAGAATCCATGCTGTCTGAATGATGAGTGGAGTATTTACGGGAAACTAAGATGATGACTCCTTTAGTCATTCCCACAGCAATGAACTTCAGATGAACTGCCAAAACTTGGGGGGAGCCATGATCACTCCTAAATGCTTGTGATGAAAGAGTCCGAGTGATTGTATTGTTGGCCTCAACATAAAAATATCCCAATGTGGTTGAACCCCTCTTAACACCTTCAAGCCGCATTGGTTGAGCAGCTGCACCCTCCTCCCAGTGCAAACCAGTAGAAGCCTGTTTCTTCTCAAGCTCCTCAGCCAGTTCAAGTGGCTTCATTGTAGAACGTGAATTGTTCTCTGCCTTTTGACTTATCCTCTAACTCTCCAGTTGTTCCAATCTCTCCTCTACAAGCTCTGAAATGTCACTAATTGAATTTGCATCATCACCACCACTAACATGCTCCTCACCATATTCATTCATGACTGGTCATATCACTTTCTAAGTTCTCTCTCTCCAAATCTATCGTCTCTGTGTCCTTAACTATATTTATCTCCTTATCAAGGTGGGGTAAAGACACACTATTTTTACATGAATTGTCGGCATCAAGAACAATAGAATTCCCATACATAGAATCAGGGTCAATTTTATTATCCAAAACTTCATCCGAACCAAAAACCGTAGCTTCTTTGTTCAAGCTCTTATCAAAACCAAGAACAGCATCAGTTTGTCGAATTACTTTCTCAGTTTCACATTCCCCATTATTATTAACACTATCCTCACCACCTTCATGGGCATCAGCAGATTGAAAAAAATCGCCCATTTTATTATCATTATTATACTCGTCGATTTCTAATTTTTCACCTGAAACGCTAGATTTCGAACTAACCCCAACCGACTCCCCATTCAATGAGCTTACATCATGATCATCACTATCTACTACTCTCTGGAGAACCCCACCGCTTATCACCCTTCTTGACTTGATAGCAGCCGCATGTGGCGATGAACCGACCTTGAAGCCGCGGCAGCAGCCGCGAGCGCAGCCCCTGGTTTGGCATTGGATTTCACTCCGCCAAACAGAGTCGGCAGCTGTTTTGAAGAAGACGTCGACGAAACCCACCAAATCGGAACCCCGATCCGCTTGAACGAGCTAAGCTTCGACGATTCCGCTTGTCCTTCTGAAAGGGCGTCGCTTTCCTTCAGTGATTGAACGAATTCTTGGGGAACGGTGTTCGACCGGGCAAGGCGGTTATCGGAGCTGTGGTGATTGGAGAGAGGGGATGAGGGCGAGGAGGATGACGTGGATACATCAGAATCGTTGAGAATTTCATCGATGGTGCGGTGAGGGACGATGGAGTTGGAATCGTCGTCGGTATCGGAGAAGTGTGAATCAAGTAACGAGTCAAGGTCAGCTTCCATTTGGGGAAAGCTTTCTCGTTTTCACTTAAAATTCAGCTTTCATTCCTGTGGGAAAGTATTTCATAATCTTCGGTTGTGAGATTGAACAATTTCATTGTTACAAGAGTTTAGCCAGTGACAGATCACGGCTTCTTCTAGGAGACCTACGCTCCACTTTCTTAATCCTGTGCGAAAACTTTAAAAATAAATTAATAATAATAATAATAATAATAAATAATGTAAAAATAAATATAATTAACTCTATGTTTGAATAATTTTTTTATTAAAAATAGTCTCTAATGTTATCATTTTTGATGTTCATACCATAACCGTCATACAAAAATTATGTTAAGTAACACATGTTACGTCGTAATAATTTTGAAAGTTTTTATTTAAAATAATAAATATAAATTTAATATTTTTAAAAAAAACTCAAAATTTTCTCAAATCTTAAAAACAAAACTCAAAACTTTGAAAATCCTAATTTTAGTCTCTATTCACACATCGGTTGTTGTCTTTTACGGTCGTCGTTAACATCGATCGGACCTACCCACCACCTGATGCGACAAACTTTAATTTTTGATTTAATCAGACAACGACAAGAAGAAAATGTGACTTTTACGTGATTCCACGGGACCCGATGATGCGATTGATGACAAGGAAGACGACGATAATGGCGATGTCGACATCGATGACCATCGATGACAAGAGAGAAATAAATGTTAGAGTTAGGGATTTAGGGATGATTTAAGGGATTTAAGGGTTTTTGTAAGTTTAGATAAATTAGGGGTTTTTATAAACATTATAAGTTTTAAAAGTTTTTCCTAAATGGTTTTTTTAAAATTATCATAACGTGACATGTGTCATTTAACGAAATTTATTAACACTAATTACGATTCGGACACCTTAAATTAAAATATTTTTAACGTTAAACACTTATTTTAAATGAATAATTCTTTAAGCACCTAAAGTTCACTTAAAGTATACTTTGGGTAGGGGTGAGCAAACTCGACTCGATTCAAAAAATCAATTTTTTTTAATTTCGAGTTATTCGAGCCAATTTGAAAGATCAATTTACTTTTCGAGTTCAAGTAGAGTTGCAATTTCAAATTTTTGAGTAACTCAAAAAACTCAAAATTTGGATATGTATTTTGACATATTTGCGATTTAATCCCTGATTTCGTATTCCTTCGATTCCTCCTTCATTCTAAGTCATTTTTTTTACCAAATTTGAACCACATGCTCCTAAACCATCAGAGAATAAATATGTACTTTCAATTCCACTTTTTGGTAACACATTTTATACATATTTCAATTTAGTCCTTCATTTTTGCATGATTTTCGTATTTTTTTCAATTCATTCTTTGACGAAATTTAAATCACATGTTCCCCTACCATTAGAATACTTAGGAAACTTCAATTCTTATTTTTTTTTTACTAAAAATATACTCTCACTTTTTAATTTAGTCCTTTAACTTTACAATTTTACTCAATTTAGTCTTTTGACTATAATTGTTTACAAATTATTTCTTCACGTCAATTCTTTGTCTCCTTTATACTCCTAATAATCTTTTATCTTCAAAATACCTCATTTGAAATATAATATTGTAAATTTATTTTATAGTTTTAGATTGAATGTGATATTTTAGATAATATTGTAATGTGATATATTTTCATTTAGGTTATTAAAATATATTTTTCTTTAAAAAAAATAATTTATAATATTTTATTTTTCTCTTTTGATCTTCTAACGTTCAAAATTTAACGAGAAAACCCTTACTTCTAACAAGAGAAAAACACATCTCTCGTTCTTCTCGAGCTGGTCTACAAGTTTGTTTTCCCCTTCTTTTTAATAACATTGTTTTTTCTTGATTTGGGTATTTTTTTCTCGTTTATTGATATAATTTTAGCACCTAAAACTTGTGTTGGAGGGGGATGGGATAGATCAGTGACGAGGTTTAAGTTGATTAATGGGTCTTTAACAACCTCTCTATGACATTCAAGATGCTTGGAGTTAATTACTCTAACAATTTACAGTAGTTTAAGATGGTACAGACTCTAAAAGACTAAATTGTGATTTCATGCATCTCGATCCTGTAATTCTGTTTTTAAGTTTCAAGCTTATTTCAAAAGTGGTGCTTTACGTGTTCTGCTTGATTAGTATCAGTTGTTTGTAAATTCAGTTAGAGTTTCAAATTATATATTTTTCTCCACTTGTTGAATTCAGTTGTTTTATAAACCTGCAGATTTCAATGGGTCGCACCCATCATGCAACATAACCAACTCAAAGAATAGAGACGAGAACCAGTTAGCAATAACCCTAATGTTACAACTACAATGTGTATAAACAACCATCACACTGGAAGAACCAGACCAAGATTATGTCTCCAAGCATAACCGAGTACTCATAGAAAAAAGTAAATGGAATCAGTGGAACGAATCGTAAGGGAATAAAGCGCATTGATATCAAAAGTGATCGAACCGACGCAAAATCAGTGTAGAATCTAGAATACTTGAATGTATAGGAAGATTCCAAACAACAGAACTCGCAAAGGAGCAACCACTTGATGTCAATTCATATAACAAAAACATAATACTTCTAATTACCACACAAAACACCAATAACAGTGAAACTCAAAACAGAAACTACCTAAATGCAGCAGTATAACTGGTAAATGACCAAAACACGAACCGGAGTGAGATCCTAATCGAACAAACCAAATCCCAAATCATCATCGCTCTCTTCCTCTGGCTCTTCCTTCTTCTTTTCCTCGGCAGGAGGTGGAGCAGCAGCACCAGCTCCATCACCAGCAGCAATAGGTGCACCTGCGGCAACTGGAGCACCACCGCCACCAGCTCCAACATTGGTTATGAGATCCTCAATGTTGCACTTCTCAAAAAGCTTGGCAAACAAGCTTGGCCAGTAAGATTCAACAGAGACATTTGCAGCTTTCACTAGTGTTGAAATTTTCTCAGCCTATGAACTATAGTTAAGAAATCATATGGGAATTTTTTAATTCCTTCAAAAACAATAATTAAATTTCATTTTTTTGTTCTTTTAATTCAATTGCCGTATATCAGAGAAACGATAACAAAAATTGAAGCTTAAAACTATAAAACCCTACAACGCATTAAGGATACGGTGATGGGGATGCCATCATCATGGAGAATAAGAGCGGCGTAGGAGCAAGCAGCTTCTCCAACCGAAGACATCGTTTCGCTATCACCACTAAAATAAAATAGATAAAACAATTAAAATCGCAATCCGCATAAAGATTTACAATGATATCCAGAGTACAAACGAAAAGGAAATTCATAGAATTTCTTGAAGGAAACAATCACCCGAAGAAACAAACCAGAAAAGGGATAGGCGCAGACGAATTACCTTAGAGACAAGAGTCCGATAGAGATGGGTCCCGAATAAGATGCGCAGCGCCGCTGTAGATGCAGTGTTTCAAGGCCTAGGGTTTCTGCAATGGGGTTTTAAAAAGACGCAATTCGTGGCTCGTGAGATTTCCGAGGCCCACTGCATCAACTGGACCGTTTTTGAAACGAGGCCTCAATAACTAGAAAATTACAAGTTTTCTTTTTCCAGATGGACGTGGATTAGACTTATTAAAAAAACAAATTATCTTTATATTCGAGAGGATTTCTTAGGAGATTTTACTTTTAAAATTAACGAAATTAAATTAACTCTTAATTTTTATTTTTTCTTCATAATTTTAAATTTAAATTAATAAAATTAAACTTTATTTATCTTAATATTTATTTACTTTTTTAAATCTTATTTATTTTAAAATTAAAGAATTCAGTATTAATTTCGTCCTCGATTTCAGGTGTTTCTTAAATTGATTGTTTTGTTGTGTTTAGTGGTTAAGTGGATTTGGCATCTTGTCGAGGGTTTGAGCCGAATCCCTTTCTTTTGTTATAAAAAAATAAATATTATTTATATTATATAAAATTTATTAATTTACATGAAAATATAACGATCGAGTGAATCTAAGAACGAATAAAATTTAAAATTTATGTAAAAGTATCATCTTTTTTCTTTCTCCATCTTAGATATACATTTAAATTCCTTCGATTATTATATTTTTTATGTAAAATTAATGATTTTTTATAACATAATTAGATCATCCCTTAAAAAAATTTGAAAAAGCAAAATTAGAAAGAAAAAAAATGAGTGAATTGATTGAATGCAATATGTTAGTGCGTACATAAATTATGTAATTAAAAATGTTGCTAAGATTCTTAGCATATCAAAATCTTACCAAACTACGTGAAACATTAAGAAGTGGATCTCAGACAAACTGAATGTGACACATTCTGCCATGCAACATGTTGCTGCCTGGGCCAATATATATATATATAATTTACACAATTGTGGTTTATTAAATTTTAAAATTTTAATCTCAATTAAATTTTTACTACAAGTCTATATATTATACCCTCATTGCATAATTTTTATCATTTTGAGTTCATGCATCAAATTTAATATTTTTAGTCTATATAAATGGCTGTCCCTTTTTTCATATGTATGAGTTAAGGTGGAGGTAAGATAGTAGACTATCCCTGAGAAGTGACTGATCATGGAACAAGCAAAGAGAAAAAAGAAAAGTGTACCCCCTTCAACCGTTGACCTGTTTTGGGTGAGATTTGAGATCCCTTTGTGCTTTGGATTCGATCCCATATCACATATATCGAAACCCCAAAAGTGACTAATCATGGAAAAAGAAGCATTCGATCGATTAAACAAAAAAGAATGCTCACTGAAAGTGAAAGATGAAAGACAGAAGAAAATCAAACACCATGTTATTATCATAACTAATCCCATCTTTTAAAGTAAAAAACCAATAAAATATATTGTATAAGTTAATGGGGTGAGCTATCCGAGCTTACCCTTCTTTTCTTTTGATTCAACAATCAATGGAATTTGGGGTTCGAAGATACAAAATCAATCTTCTGAACCACTTTTGATACAAATATGAAAAACGCTGTCATCGGATGCTCTCTGCAACCTAGACAAAGTCATCTAATAATTAGTGTTTGACGGGTGGAATCCAAAAACCAATATTTAGTTTCCACCTTTGTGCAAAATACATGAACGAATATGATGATGATGATAACTTCTCCTAATCCTAATGCTAACACCAAACTACATGTATGATGAACCGAAAAAAATGATGATGGTAATGACACGAATCCTATTGTGCCATCCGGTTAGCTCGACCTTAACGTCGTTCTTGAAAGATCTAGACTGTCTCCCTCAACATGGATTAACTTGGTGGTTTCCTTTCGGTAGGTGTCTCGGAAACTTGTGAAGGACCTGGCACCTTTCCCCCCACATCAGTAGTTGTTGCGGTTTGGGGTAAAGGTGTTGTTATTGGAGGTTCGATTTTCGTTGTTGCCACCGTTGTTGTCTCCACCACAGCTGGGGCAGTTGATGTAGTTGTTGCTGTAATACCTGCTTTACATTGTGTCTGTAACTAACGCCTCTTGCAGTATGAATGAATTTGAAGGTTGTAGAAAACAATCACCTGCTGTCGTTGCTGCTGTAGTTGCTGCCATAGGCATTGAAGATGGAAGTGATACGACTCCAGTAACCTGTTGAGGCAAAGAAGCATATGGTACCATCTGGGGATAAAACGGATAAACATTATGAAGCATCCTCGTGTAGTAGGGTGAAAATTGTTGGCCTCCATAGAGATTATAATAGTTCTGCAAAAACACCATCAAATTCAGCTAAAGCAATGCCAAAGAACTGATGCAGCATATCTCTGAATGTAATTTTTACACACTAACCAAAGGATAAACGCTATCCTGTGAATATCCAGTGTATCTGAAAGTGAATATTCATGAAGAAACCGAATCAATACGACAATCAAAACAACTAAAATGCAGGTTAAAAGGAAATGGCAATGGGTTTCATTTTCCACAAACAATGAACTCACCCATAAGCTGAGTAAGGAATAAAATATTGATCAGTAGGTTGTTGGATATAAGTTGATGAACCATGATAACCAGGTGCTGCAATTAATCCAGGTGCTGATCTAAACCGTCCAACCCCTGCATTTGATTGTTTCTTAGTGTTCATATTGGCTTGCTCCATCCATCTTGAAATACAAACAAAGATGATTTTTTCCCAATATAGTAAAGAAAAAACACATCTTTATAATGAATAAAAATGGGTTTCATTATCAAACAAAAACAGACCATGCTGATGAGTTGGTGGACGAGTCTTTTGAGCACCCAATGAAGCAAGATTGCAGTTTGCCCTCCTTCCATCAATGATAGGTGAAGGGTTTTGGCATGCTCTCATAGCTGCATCTGGATCCTTAAAGGTAACCTGGAAACAAACATAAAGATTTGTTCTTTTTATTGTGAAAACATGGATAGGGAAATAAATAAGGCTTTTTTTTCTTCATAAAGGGATCCATATGCTTACAAAGCCGTAACCCTTGGATCTCCCGGTATTCTTATCTGTGATAACAACAGCCTCAAGAATCTCTCCAAATTGCTCAAAATAACGCCTCATGGTATCCCTTTGAGTTTCCCATGCCAATCCACCAACAAAGATTTTTGTAAACGTTGTGTCATTGTACTGCCCCGGATTGTTACCACCCACCATCGGAAATTGCCTTTGTTGTGACATAGAACAAAGAGAAAAATAGCATAGTCCCCCAAATAAAACAGGGAATGAACCTTGAAAGGAGCCAACAAAAAAAAACACACTGAAGCCAAATATAGAGTGGTTAAAAGATAACCAAAAAAAAGGAGTTTAATAATTGATAGAACGAATTGTTTGGATGATCAAAACAATCAAAACCCAGAGCTCAAAAACTCTGCTTTCGTTTGTTTTTGTTGAGTTTCTTGTCCCTCTGTACTGAGGCTGTAACCACTACTTTTTTCACACAAAAAAAACCCTCAGATTCTTCAAATAATGATACCCTTAACGAGAAAAAAGCATTACTGTCGAGAGGACGAAGCAAAGAAAGAAGGGTGATAAAAGGAAGAAGAAGAACAAGAACAAGAAGAAAGAGGAAGGGAAGACAATAAAGCTGGCTAGTGGGCACGCATGACAGCAGTAGGCAAGGTTGTCCAATGAAAAAAAATATATATCATCACCACTCTCTCTCTTTCTCTTGTATTCAACAAAGGGAAAAAGATACGTATATACATTTGGTTAATATTATTATATAAACATCTGCGTCTCTGTATTCAACCTTGAAATTTGGTTTTGGCAATCTCTGCTTCCCCCACTGATACTATTGCACGTTCTGTTTCTGGCATTTGTGGGTCTTTGTTTGAGGTAAAACATATTCATTCAATCCATACAAAAACCCTCGACTCTTTCTCCTTCTTTCTTTAATTGCAATTGTCTTGCCTTTGTCTTCAACTCCATTCCTCTGCAGCTGCAGCTGCAGCCTGCAGCAGCTATTTCCCTCAACCCAACAAATGTGGCGATTTTCCCAATAAATCACCCTTTCCCTATTTATTCTAATGTCAGACACACTTTCATATTTATTTCTCGATCTAACACCCTTTATACAAAGGCGGGGTTTATGTACCATGTCTTATGCTGATATAGCGCTACGTGGGTAAGATGCGACTCATGCACCGCGCTTTACGCTGATGTGGTGACACGTGTAAAAATTGGGTATTAATTTTGTAAATTTTTTAAAATGGTGCCTAATATATAATTAATTTCTATTATAGTGATTTTTGTGCAAAAACGTCAACTTTATTTATTTTTTTGTGTGTTAAAAAAATTATACATTAAAATTGTTAAATATTCTTTTGTAAATTATTTTATAAATCGACAAATTTTGATTTTTGCATGAAAGTACACAATATGTATAATCTAGTATAAGAAAACTTTGAGGGTAAGTAATTTAAAACATGAATAATTTTATAAAAATTTTATAACTAGTATTTCTTTTACAAGATGATGATGATAAGAGATATTTTATAATTTAAAAAATTATAAATTTCATATATTTTTAAAAAAATTATTGATTTTTAAAATTAATTGTTTAAAAATATAAAAATAATTAAAATAATTGATTCTTTAGCTTTACATTCTTTTTTTATTAAATTTTATTCACTTTTAATTCTTTATTTATTGTATTTTTATTGATTTTTAAATATATGAATTATAATTCAAATTAATCATTTATTTTGCTATTATTCAAATTAATTAAGAAAAATTATGGTAAAATGTTTCTAAAAGAAAAATATAAATACATACATGAAAATCAAAAAAAATTTCTTTCTTGTGTTACTCTCTAAACTTGTAACAAAATTTAATAAAAAATGTAAAACTAAAAAACATCACATATATATTTAAAATATTCTTTCTAATATAAATTTTAAAAAATATAAAATAAATATTAAATTATAATTTTATTAAAAATGAATAAATATTATTAAATGTTGTTAAAAAATAATAATTAATAGATATTAATTCATTTAAACCATCAATTGTAATTAAAAGTTTATTTTAATATTTTTTTATATTTTTAAACAATAAATTTTAAAAGTCAATAAATTTTTTAAAAATATATGAAATTTATAATTTTTTAAATTATAAAATATTTCTCATCGTCATCAGCATCATTTTGTAAAATAAATACTAGTTATAAAACTTTTATAAAATTATTCATATTTTAAATTACTTACACTCAAAGTTTTCCTACACTAGATTATACGTATTGCGTAATTTCATGCAAAAATAAAAATTTGTCGAGTTATAAAATAATTTGCAAAATAATATTTAAAGATTTTAATGTAGAAAGTTTTTTGCACACAAAAAAAATTGACATTTTTACATAAAAATTACCATAACAAATTAATTATATATTTACACCATTTTAAAAAAAATATGAAACTAACACCCAATTTTTACAATTGATGTAAAGTACGGTGCATGTATAGCGTCTTTTAATACGTGGCGTAAGACGTATAGAGCATTTTCTGCAAAAGAGTATTAGATAAAAAAAATGAAAGGATGTCTGACAAAGAATAAAGTTTGAAAGGGTGATTTATTGAGAAAATCGCCCAAAAATGTAAGATGTATTGCGGTTAATGTTTGGTGAACCAAAAATTTTGGAGCCACCTTCTAAATTCTCTATCTTTTCCTAAACAATAAACACTTTACCACCTTTGGCGGAGCCAACCCGTTTTTCCCGTTTAATATATAGAGAAAATAACCTCAGTGACCAAAAATCTTAGATAATATACGATTTTGACCAATTTTTTTTGGATTTGCGAAAATGACCAACAAAATCGCAATGCGATCTCTAATTCGCATTGCGATCTCCACTATCGCAAATTCACGTTGCATTTCGCATTGCGATAGTTGAAAATCGCGTTGCGTTTTTCCATTTCGTGTTGCGATAGTTGGAAAATGTTAATATGTATAAATTATATTTTTGGTGTTGGAAAATGCCTTTTACACCTATAAATCACTTTATTTTTATTTAATATTTAATCCTAACTTCGTTCCTACGTGTAAAATTATTATTACTTTTTTATACGACATTTAGGATAATTTTTTTATTTAATACGTAGGTAATTATATTAAATTTAAATTAGCATAGCATATAATATGTTATATTAAATTACAATATTTACTATTTATAATGGTAAGTGAACTATAATAATTGATGACTAATTATAAAAAATATATAAGAATACATAAAATCTTAAAATAGTATATATATTTATAAGATACACGTCTTCTTCTCTTTTCTCCCCAAAAAATTAAAGTATAATAAGCTCTAATAAAAATTATAATGAAAAAATACAAATAAGATTGTGTTGGATATTAAATAAGAGGGAAAGGTAAAATTACTTTCTTGAAGATTTATATAATAATCAAAAAGATATTTTTGAAAGAATTAAGTGGGAAACTACTAAAACATTGTGAAATTTTAAAGAATGTTGCATGAAAATTCGCGACAGTAGAAAGTTGACCCAGTTAGAACTGTTTGACGGCCGGCTTGGAGGCAAGCAGCCGAGCTGAGACATCGGAAACTGTCTTAAAAGCCCTTTCAAAAAAAAATAACTATAATAAAATAAAATAAAAAGCCTGAAAAAAATGTTGACGGTCGTACTATCCCAAAAGAAACAAGGGTAAGCTATATGTTTAGTACCTAAATTATTAGTTTTATTTTATTTTAGTATCTAAACTTTCATCTATTTTAAGATCATGCTTAATATTTACTTTTTATTTCATTTTAGTATTTAGCCGTTAAAAAATTAACGGAATTGATGTAAGCGACATTTTTATGGGTAAGTTATATCATTCTTCACTTCACTATCTTCTCACTCCTATTTTGGTCACTAAAATTTTTAAAATTTTCAATTTAACTACTCAACTTTCAATTTGCTCATGCTTTAAGCACTCTAATTTATTTCATTAATAATTTTTAGGACATGATTTTTTATTACTATTTTATTAATATATAATTAAAATAGACAAAATTACATTTGATAGTTAGAGTGATTAAATTATGAGTAATTTAAAAGTTAAGTAATTAAATTAAAAAAGTTAAACTTTAGTTACTAAAATAGGAGTGAGAAGATAGTTTAGTGATGAATGATGTAATTTATTCATAAAAAAGTACTATATTATAATAGTTCTGCTAAGTTTTTAATGGTCTGATACTAAAACGGAATAAAAAGGAAATATTAAATATGATTTTAAAAATAAATGAAATTTTATATACTAAAATGAGAAAAACTAATAGTTTAGGCATTAAATATAAAATTTACCCAGGAAACAAAGAAAAAAGGGCAGTCTGGGGTCAGAGCCTCGCACATGGAGTTTGCCAGTGCTTTGTTATGGTGGTGAGAAATTGAAGGGTCGATGATGAATTGTCGTTAATGGGAGACAATGTACGTGGTTGGCAGTTAAATTAAAGGGTTTATTATTACATTTTATTTCTAAAATGATAACTTTGGATTATGTTAGTGTGCACGATCGATATTACATAAAAACCATGGAAAAAGATTCAAAGAATCGGCTTACATTTGCGACGGCCACCCTGCTATATGGTGGAGATCAGTGATGACACACTGAATTAGAGATAGATTTAAAGGAGCGGATGAGACAGTCGCTCTGTTTAAAAATTTTATTTATATTTTATTTATTAAAAATTCATTCTATTTAATATAAAATTATGTTACCGTCCTTTAAATTATTTTGAGTTCTCTTTGCTCGCATCTGCAGCCTATTCTTTGAGCTGTTCGAGTTGTGCCAACTGAACCAAATAAATTAATTTGGATTTCCAAGCAAGTTAAAGGCCATAATGAAATGGTTCCGGATGAACGGAATTGGCCCATTACGACAGGCTGTGGTAATTATTATTACTTACATTCACCATCACCCATCACTCCCTTCGTTCACGGTAATCTGACTCGTAATTCACTGTAATAAGTGGATTTTGTTGCAAAATTTAGATGAAAAAGTTAACAGCGAAACTCCATAAAGCACTAACGACAGAACTGACTATTAACGTTCTTATATCCACCACTTACCAAGCTCAGAATACATAAACCTATTAGCCCGACATGGGCTCGTTTCACAAAAAATGTTCTTATATATATATATATATAAGAAACTTATTTTTAAATTAAAATTAAATTTTCAATCATATATTTAAAAGATCAACTTTCATGTCACATCTTGTAGTTTATTTATTCATTGTCTTTCTATATATTAACTATTAGTTCTGGAATACGTTTGTTTATAATTTGGTATAGCAGCCATACAGTAAAAGGCAAATTTGGACAACTCAAAACATGTAAAAAATTACAGACGTTCTCTAATAGGTAGTTCAAATCAAGTTTCAAGCTCAAACACATCACTAATATATAATTCTATTTACCGATAACATCCCCGATTTATTGATAATACGCGTAATTTTACACTTTAGGTGACTGGTATGTAACGGA